TTTTCGGATGGGGTGGCTATGCCACAGCCGCGAGATATGTCGTAGTACGATCAAATTTACGGAGCGGGGTGGCTATGCCACCACCCCAAGATATGCCCGAGCATCATCACTTTCCCGGCGAGGGGCGGCTATGCCACCACCCCAAGTATGCCTTGGTACCATCCATTTCCCCGGAAGGGGTAGCTATGCCACAACCCCAAGAAATGCCTTAGCCCTATCAATATTCTCGAGCGGGATGACTTAGCGGAGTGACCCCAATTTTGACAAACTGGGTAAGTCAACTTGTTCTGATGGCTGTTCTGAACTCTGCTGTTGTGAGACCATTCCGTTAGAGGGGCAGATATGCCGTTTGACGACAAGCCATGTGTATGAATGTCCAAGGTGGACCATCAGCTTATGCCACACATCAATGTATCGAGTCGTAGTGTCAAACTGATTATGGTATATTGTCAAACTTGAATGCATATTGTCAAACTTGAATGCATATTGTCAAACTGATTAGGGTATATTGTCAAACTTGGGTGCATATTGTCAAACTGATTATGGCATATTGTCAAACTTGGGTGCATATTGTCAAACTGATTATGGCATATTGTCAAACTTGGGTGCATATTGTCAAACTGATTATGGTATATTGTCAAACTTGGGTGCATATTGTCAAACTGATTATGGTATATTCTCAAACTTGGGTGCATATGGTCAAACTGGTTATGGTATATTGTTTCACTTGGGTGCATGTTGTCAAACTGAATTCCTGTATATTGTCAAACTTGGGTGCATGTCGTCAAAATTCTTGCCTGCTCATTTATCAAAGTTGCAAGGATACAAGATGGCGAGGTCTTCTTCTGACGCTTCTCGGCCGTTCTAGTGTTCATTGTACGTGATTCGCTCCATCCCGACCGTTCATCTCTCACCTCACTCGTGGGCTGAATTTTTCGAGAGACGAGAGCCGCATCCTTGTTCTCAGATTTAGTCTAATAGATTATACTCTATATGTCACAAGAGGATTTCGAGTCATCGATCCAGCAACTTACACGATTGGGGAGCAGTGGGTCAATTCCAGTCTCTCCTCTATCAAGTCAGTTACTATTCTAATGCTCTTCCGGTTCCATCGTCTCCTACAGCTTTTTGACCTTCCCTTCGCTTACACAGAGGGAACGAACGATGCACAAAGGGACACTCAGGAGCTTCGTCCTGGTATCCAGTGTTGACGAGAAGTTGCAGTCAATCCCGAAGCCGTGGTATCCGGCGGTGGACTCTTTCAGAGGAGGCACTATACCAATCGTTGTTATATTCCACTCGATTTGGGTTATTATTATGCTCAAAGTCCTTCCTGATTTTCTTGCTATGTGGGGCTATAATTTACTGGTTACCAACTCCTTGTCTTTCGCAGCATTCTACAGCGTGTTATCCTCTTGGCTATATTTCACCCCTCTCATTCACCCATGCATCCACTACTTACTGTAAGACTACCAGCTGCACCAAGAGGTCCTATAATAAGCTCTGCACCTTCAGATTCGCTATCGTCACTATGCTATGCATTCACGTAATCTGTTGGGAATCAGAGAGATCCGGAGTAAGTATGTTGATGCTATTTGTTGGGCTCTCCTTAGCGATGGGCCACGAGGATCGAGTTAAAGGGAGAAGCGCCACCGTAAAGACGCTGAAGCTAGGAACAGCAGCGGGGGCTAGAAGCGCTACAACGTGTGGTGGTCATAGGATTTGGACCTAAGTATGGAAACGTCAGCCATTTTGAAGTGTTATATTTGCTCATTGCGGGGCGAACGCAAGCGGAGCTATACACTGCACCTCGGGCCATTTCGGTCGTGCGCGCGTGAGTGCAAGTTGTTTCTCCTCAATCAGAAAGAGTCTGAACATGACTAACGAAACAATCGAAAGCTAGATAGACGTGTATACTTCCAGTTAGGCACTGAGCCCAACCCAGTAAGGTGACCGTGATATTCTTGGCTCGTAGAATTTATTACCCCAGTAAAGCCGTTGGTCATTCGGATCAACCGCGCTTAGATAAGTATGTTACGAAGGCCGTGGAAGATGCTAGTAGTCTTATGGTTCGTCCTAGAGTTGCATGTACAGGCAGCTCTATTGGTGGTAGCTGCGTGAATCTAACTGGTTAATCAATGCCGTGTTCATCTCACTCATGCGATGAACATCTCCAGGGTTTCGTTCTATGCAGACATTCATCAGAGTAGCGCATGGACAAATACATAATATATGTGAATACCCCCCTGGTGTCCATGTTTGATTATATGGCATACACTATGTCGCATGCCCGAACTAATATGGAGGCTGGCGCCTCGTAGCTCGAAGCTATAGTCATTCGAAGCGCGATTGATTTTATCGAACTATCCACGCCACGGAGAAGTGGCGTGCACTCGTATTCCCGACGAACGCCAGGCGTCACACCTAAGGCATGTGTGACGCCAAGCCTTCGTCGTGCGGTTGACGTAAAGTCGATGGTGATGCTTATCTCCTGTCTCTGCCCCTTTCATTAGCCCTCGGGTTCATCCTTTCCAGCCTCTTTCAAGGTTGTTGCCTTCTGGCTTATCAGTGCGGCTTCGACTGGGGATGCCAAAACTGGGTTTGTGGACGCCTTACGACAGTTTTAAATCCTACATGTCACGACATGACTCGGAGTTCGCCGATCCAACGACTTACATGATTGAGGAGACGTGGGTCAATTTCAGTCTCCCCTCTATCAAGTCAGCTACTGTTTTGATACTCCTCGGTTTAGTCATCTCCTGCAGCCTCTGCGCCACCCATTTCCTAACACAGAGGGAGCGAGCGATACACAAAGGGACACTCGTGGGCTTCACCCCGGTATCCAGTGCTGATGAGAAGTTGCGGCCAACCCCAAAGCCCCGGTATCCGGCGGTGGACTATTTCAGAGGGTTGAATGTCGTATTCGTCGTTATATTTCATTTGATGTGGGCCCTGGGAGTCTGTAAGATGATTCCCAATCAACCTCGTATTTACCAATACAATCTACCTATAACGGGTTACCTATGCTTCGCAGCAATTTATAGTACTTCATTCGTTTGGGGGAATCTGACTCGTCCGATTCACCCATACATCCAGTACTTCATGTGAGACTGCAGCTATAGTAGGACGCTGTATAAGGAGCGCTTTACCTCTCAGATTCTCTCTTACCTGTACTTTGTGCATCTACATAGTGTGCTGGGAAACCGAGAGATCCGGCGTATGCATAATAATGCTGTGTGTTGGACTGTCCTTAGCGATAGTCCACGAGGACCGAATCAAATGGAGAAACGTCATTGTAAGGACGCTGAAGCTAGGAGCAGCAGCAGGAGCTATAAGCGCTATAACGTAATAATATTCTTGGGGAAGAGAGAGTCGATGGTGCCTGTCATTGTCAGGTATACCTTTATCCCCAAAGCTCCTATCTACTTCGGCGCCATTCACTGCATAGCGCTCAATACCCTACTGACCATGTTCTTCGTCAGAGTGAGTTGAATTCCCACGATGATATTCTCCGCTCCGCTCCATGGGTCTTCCATTATACTTTCATCACCGCTCGATACTCAGACCCCTCGTATCGCCCTTATCGGCTTCATCTGCATCCAGATTTACACTATGGCAGGAAATGTGTTCCCCCTGGAAGTTCCCAGTGACCGTCCCTCAGCCGATACGACTCCGTGGTAAGTACATTGAACGTCTGTGTTGGGTACAGCAGCCCATAGTATAGTAAGAGGATCGCAACTACTCTGTATCGGCACAGCTCGCTATGTATTGACATAAAAAGTGTTTTAGTACAGCGGAGCGTTGACATCAAGCAACGACGCTGTAGATGTCCTTGGGATGACGGTGTGCTATTCCATCCATCAAGTTGGACGGTTCCCTCTCCTCATAGCTACGTCAGTGTATTCACAAACCGACTTTACGGCTTAATTGAGCACTACGGTGTGTTCGAGGGGAATGGTGCTCCCGGCGTAGGTTCCACAACCTTGGATACTGCTTGCTCGGCGTCTGGCTTCACAGCGTGGGCATTCATAAGATAACGGCTATCGAATTGATACCAGGCAAACCCATGCATCTCGAGGATACAGTCTTCACATTTATCGGCCGACATGTAAGGCTTATTAGTTTCACTTGATCCTGAGGTGGTTAACGCGTGATGTACGCCGCTCTTTCCTCAGGCTCTGATGGTCTATCTGGCCCACATGATACCTGTCCTTGTTGTAGTTGGACTGTCTATCCTCCGGGAATCGTAGCCGTATCCTTCTTACATTCTTCGTGGAACAGCTTACCTCTTCTTGAACGAGCTGGCATGTGTGGTGTTGGTCAGTTCGGGCAGAAGAAACCCTCGTAAAGCTTGCAACGCAGGGCATCCGGGTTCATCGTCGACAAGGATAGTCTCCTGTTATTGCAGTAGCGGCGCAGCTGCCTTGCCAGTGCTGGTAGTAGCTCTCTCCTTGAGATGGCTGATGACACTCCAAGCTGCGAGAAGATCCATTGAACCAATACTCTCCCATCTTTGCCGATGTCTGGAGAACAACCTGTTCCGAACAGGTAATGGTACGACTGAATTCATTGTGAATGTGCACTGTGTCGACGGTTCAATGGGCCAAGCCTCTGCGCAGCTATTGCATCGTCTTGGCAGGCTCTCTGCTAGCTTTCTAGATTTGAAAGCAACCTTCGACAAAGTACTACGTTCTGCTATGCGGAGAGCTCTCAGACTTGTTGGGTGTGATGAGGAGCTGATATCAGCCATTTAATCACCCCCTCGCGGTACTTATGCTCAAGTGCAGACATGGGAAGGCTCACTTGATCTTTTTCATATAGAGATTGGAACTAGACAGAGATGCCGTATAGCATCTCTTCTATTCATTATCTTTATCTACTCGGTGATCAGAGGTGCCAATTTGAAAGTTGGATTGAGTATGCCATACGAAAGAGGTGGCAATGCTGAAGACGTCGCCCTCTGATGCCTCCTGTTCGCAGATGACATAGTTTTATCGGCACAAGATCTGATAATCAATGTTCTGAACTTCGCAGATAGCCTGGATCAGCTCTCTACGGCCCTGACTAGGTTTGGCACGGAAATGTCATTATCTAAAGCGAAATATCATAGAGACGCACAGATTGGCATCTGATGCAATGGTGGCAAGGCTACCCGTGGTGGGTGGTTCACCCAATACCTGAGATGAGATTCTTATCTCAGGGATTGGGTGATGCAAATCTAGGGCATGCGTGTAGTTGATTTTGATGTCGAGGAAGTGGGCCGATTTGTCCATTAAGTAGTCTCTTTCCAGGAGGAAAGGATCTTGTGGCATCTTATAGACATAGATCTCCGGCAGCTCTCGAGAAACTGAGCAGCCTTACTATCGTTCTAAAGTCTGATTAATCATCATTCATCAATGCAACGATCCTCCGAGGAGACTATCATACATCGTGTCATAAGACGTGTCTTGCTCCGGCCCTTCATGGTTTGGAACCCGCTCCTTACACTGGAGGCTCGTTGCGGCATCTTGACGTGTTGCTCAATCGCTGTAGAAGGACGTCCTTAGTATTGGCTCTCGGTAGAGGGGGATCCATTTGGGCCTAGCCTCTAGGGGGGTGGGGGGTCAGTGCGTGGGGTTGCACGAGTCTCACAGTATTATTTTGAGGACCACACCTCTTAAGGTCCTCCATAACTGGATTTTCCCCTCACTGGCCACTGGCTAGTGGCCGGTGAATGCGCCAAAAAGCTGTGTCAACAACGTTTGCAGCATGAGCAGATGTAGGTGAACTAACAGTAGGCCGAAGGGCAACAGCGGCGATGATCGTCATCATCCGCGTACAGAAACTATTCCCACTCCTTTCATTAACATCTTTGAATGTTGAGTTTTAGTGTACCATCGTAGTAAGTAAAGGAATGTTGTATATGCGTTACGATCCAGCGATGACAGTTGTTTTAATCTCGCTCCGGATGTTGCGAGAGAGCTTCTTAGTGCTACGTGACCTTTCGACAGCCCCCTGGTCGGTGGTATTAACCTCTGGCCCTGCCCTGACTATCTGGGTCATCCTCATAACGACCTTCCTCTTCTGTCTTCTCCACAAACTCACAAACCAGCAGAGAGTCTCTCACAAAAGGGCGATGATGGAAGTAGGCCCTGAGGTCTGTTGGGTTCGTTTCGGAATCGCTCTTGTGTTAGAGTGGCGAAGCCGTGGCCCATTTCGATGAGGCTGAGAATTCTGCCACTACTTCGGATGAGGCAAAGATGCGTCCCTCTCGATACCCAGCTGTGGACTATTGGCGAGGGATGTGTATCAGCTTCGTCGTTATGTATCACATGGTCGGAAACTTTCGTATAAACGGTCTGATCCCCAGCGGTTTTCGCGGGGCTAATTATTCGGACCCCTGTCCTAAATGGAACTATTTCACGTTCACAGTTTATTTTTCGATATTCCAGACTGTTTGTCATTTGGGAAGGTTCGTCTCGCCTTATCTTCACTACCTTCTGTGAGTAACACTGACTCACCTTTTGCGGCTACGGAGCTGTCAGGTTCACCCCTTGTACTGTGTATTGCATCTGTGTGTGGTGGCGAGAGAGTCAAGTCGCTGGAGTGGCGATGCTACAGATGTGCGTTGGGCTCTCCCAAGCCTTGGCCAACAGAGGCCGGGTTATCAAATGGAGAGCTGTCATCCACCGAACCATCAAGCTGGCCATGTTCGCTGCTATGCTCAGTGCCTACACGTGGGAGCTTAAAGGAAGACTTGAGCATAATTGCTGTTGCTGTGTAGATTCTATCGATTCCCTGATGCTCCTATTGTATTCGGAGCACTGCATTGCATATGTCTCAATAGTCTGCTCTGTCTCCCATTTGTGAAGGTGATGGCCATCACTCCGCTCAACCCTGTGAGTAGTTCCCCCTTAGTATCCACAACTAGCCTTCCCCGCCTTCTTATTCATCCAAATGTATACGATGTGTTTCGGTGTCTTCCCGCTGGAGGTAGATATGGATCGACCATCGCTCGACGTTATGCCTTGGTAGACTGAGGCCCGCCGTCTACTCTCAGGCACCAAGTTCAGGTTCCACAATCTTGGCTTCTGCGTGCTCGGAGTATGGCTGCATGATCGAGGCGTCCACACCATCAGCTCCCTGCGCTTATTTCCTTTCCGAACCCGAGTTCCGTTCGAGGAGTCTGTATTCTGTACCCTGGGCCGTTGGGTGAGCGTCACGACTACTGTATCAATGGAGAGGCTGCATATTTTCAGTCGCTGACAGTGTACCTCTGCCACGAACTCATCTTCGTTCCTTTAACGCTCGCGATAAAGCAGTGGAAGCCGCAAGGAGTGGCATGACGATGGAAAGCAATAATAATCGATTTGCTCCTATTTGAAGTTGGCTACTTTACTCTGATATGATCACTAACAACAAAGTTGGTTTCTGATTATTATCTCACCGGGCTCGGGTTCATGAAACCTGTGACATTCAGAGCTATAATCTCATCGTGGATTACGTTATGGGTCGAGACGGAAATTGTCGAGACGGT